GCGGTCTCTGTCCCCCACAATCGACTCAAACGAGCGCAGGAACCCCCAGAGCGCTTGGATACTTTCAAACAAGCTTAATTCAAAGTTCCTCAAAACCAACAGATGCGCTCCTTCCCTCCCCAGACTTCAACAAGCTGCAGTTAAATCACAGAATCACAGAATCACAGAATGGTCGGGGTTGGAAGGGACCTCTGTGGGTCACCCAGTCCAACCCCCTGCTGAAGCAGGGTCACCTACAGTAGGCTGTAGAGGACCTTGTCCACGCGGGTCTTGAATATCTCCAGATATTCAAGATATCCAGATATCCCTTGGCAGCCAGGGAAGCTCTCTGACCCGGGGGAGAGGGTGTCCCTTTGCACGTCATGACAACGCGAATTTGCAGTAGATGATACAACATACATTTTCTTTTTTTAAAAAAAGAATGAACTTCTGTTGTGAAAACACAGAAAACTGGAATTACAGGGGAAAACCAGGCCCTGCTTTCTCAAAGGACTCCGTTCTGGTTCGAACCCCTCTCTCCTGTAGTTTCCCTGTGGTCTAAACACGCATAGACACGCACACCCGCTTCCCGTCCCTCAGTTCCACCCCCAAGAACAGCCAAAATAAACATGGAAAATAATATGAAAAAACTCTGTATTCAGTAATATTCACACCAAAGTATATGTATAGATATATCCATTAAAATTATGAACATTTCTAAATATTATTTATGTATCATACATATATTTATATGTATAATTACATATCCACAGAAGTAGTCTTGCTGTGCTAAAGCCAGCAGTAAAAGCAAAAACAGGTTTCACAATAGGACACCCATATATGCATATGTACTGGCTGTTTGGTTTGTGAATTTATTTACAACTGAACTGTATCATAATAAATGCTTACCGTTCTATTGTACAAACGTAATAGTAAAGGTTTAGGTTCGTTTTTTTTTAAATACAAAGACTGCAAATGAATACATGAAAAAAATTACACACCATGTACAGTATTTATAATTTATAAATGCAAAGTTAAGACCTCTTTAAATTATTGCACTTGCATATTTTTTTTTACAAAGATAGTTTATATGTATCATATATATATATATGTGAGTGTAAATATATATATATAAAACAATTTTTCAGCTCACTAAATGTAGTAGAGTTGAATGTTGTTACCTTGAAGTCCGTTCTTCTTCACGTAACAGCCCAACCTGAATTTTGAATATCTATGAATCTACTCCACCAGTCAGTCTGACCTGCCCTGGAAAGCAGTCCGTTACTCGAGGGTTCTCGACGGAGCTTACACCCGTACAACAACCGAGCACAGTTTTTGGTCAGAAAGCAAACCAAGCGCTGCCACGTGCCCTTGCCAGACCGGGACGGACAACCGAACGCCGGAGCGTGCGCTTCCCCGCGCGCGGAACCGGCGAGCGCATCGCTCCGCTCCCCGGAGCTGCTCCGATGTCACAGTGTTTGAGGCAAATGCGTTACTCCAAGAGGGTCACCACTGTCCCGAGCATCTAACGGGCTCTGGCTTTCAACACCAACAGAGCTACTTGCTACCCCTACAGTCTTAACGCTAAATGCTCTGAATGCCGTCACGGCAAACTGATCACGCTCCTCCAAGCTCAAAGCACAGGAAAGAAGTCTGTGCCGCATCAAAAGATCAATTCCACACTGTCCCCTCCACTGTAAATATAGTTTATCGTATACTCCAACTAAAAAAAAAAAAACACAACATTTTTTGCATTTCTCTAACAGTCTCTTCTAAAAAAAAACATACTGCCGTGAGCTGACCCGCCACAGCAGAACGTCGCACTACCCCACAAAATCCACAGATTAATTCTAACAACGGAGTTTCTGTCAGTGCCAGAACAGAACTCGCAGCGTCCCAGATGAGCACCACGCCACGGCAACTCCTTTTCTCACCTGGTGCGACCCTCCAGGCACCGTTTCGTCACACACCAGAAACGCTCAGATACGGCTTCAGGCGGTCCTTTCACCTTCAGCGGGCTGAGCAGGGAAAAGCAACCGGAATTATTAACAAAAATAAAGCAGTTCTGGGAGTATACAGGCTAACGATTCTAGACGAGGAGAGAGCTGTTAGGTTTTTGTATCTTCTTACCCAATCTGGGGCAAGACCAGTTTTGGGAGCACACGAACACACGGAGGAAGGGCTTTTGGCCATTTAACTTGAGGAGCCAGATGCCCTAAGGAACAGGTGCCCGACTCTGCTTGTGACTTCAGGTCCAGAACTCTGAACAATCAAATCTCAGCGTGCACCTGAGCCGTGACGAAACTCAGACGCAGCTTCAGAGCTTTCATTTTTGGTGGTTTTGACCTTGGAAGTGAGGTCGTAAGTTTGTTTCTAGAAAAAATTTACACATCTGATCAATGTGCTCAGAAACTGCAGCCCACTGCGGCTCTTTTTGTTGGTCAAGGGGCGAGCAACGAGCAACATTTTGTCATGACCCTTCGCCTTTTACACAGCAGGGAAACAAACCAAACCTCAACTATCAGAGCCAAAATTTCTAATTCTAATGGACATTATACGATAGCAAACATAGATTTTATGTGGTCTGGATGGTTCTGTTTTGGAAACTGTACCTGACTGACTCGAGACATTCAACTTCTTGCCAATTTGACAAATTTTCTGGGGAAACACGTTCCATCTCAGTACTTACAAACTTCAAAGTATAAAACACCGTGTGCTACTGCCCAGCATTCTGACTGGTGACAGAGCTAGTGAAGTTATCCTCACCATCAATGAGCAAAAGATGAATTAAAAGCTTTCCATAACACAGACACAGTGTGATACGGAATATTTTTGCAGCGCTTGCAAGATCAGCATTCGGAGAGGGAGGGTAACAGCAAAGACACTCAACCCATGGAGGAAAAACTTTCTGTCCTATTGTTGGGGTATCTGAATTTCAGGCAGTGTTTTTGTCATAGATTTGGATCATTTCCACGTAAATTAGGAAATTAGCAGATGAAAGGTTGCAGCTGTGTGGTTTCATCTGAACCACTAAGGAGTAAAGCAGGGGGCACAGCAGCAGACGCTATTCATTCTACTTTGGTGTCACTGTTTCCTGCCATTTTTTCATATTCTAAAATCGCTTTCTGTGCTTAATGAATTTCTGCACTTGGAATTGGTAAAGCAAGCTGAAAAAAATTCTGGGGCTGCCGCTAGCATATCATACAAAGAAGTGAATTTCCCCTTGGATTCTCAGCCTCTGGGGTACCTCTGGGCTGCAAAGGCTCAGGTGCGTTTAGACGTCACGCGATGACGCATCTTTTTTTTTGTAGGGAGACTGGCATGCGCTCGACCACATCAGAAGGCAAAACTCAGGAGTCCCAGTCACCTACATGAAACCCGTCAGATGACGTGCTTATTAGAGCAACACAGCTCAGCAGACCCGGGATGGAGAAAGAGACCTTGTGTTCTGTCTTGCAGTCGCTACTGCAAGTGACGGCCGTGCTGTCACGGAGCCACCGCCCGCCTGCGCAAACGCACGTCCCGCAGCGCGGGCTGTCTGTGCAGGGTACGCAAAGACTGCGTCTTCACCTACTGCGTGCATCAAGACCAAGATTATTTTTCTTACTATTTTTACGAGAAAGATGAAAGCAAATGAAGTGTTGCTGAAACACACTCTGTACAACTGCACTAAATTCGAAAGAGTGGCGTTAAACGTCAGGTCTGAAAGTCTGTGCAGGAGCTGGTGAGGCTGAAGCCAGCACAGAACTGTAAACACAATATTGTAGAGCACTTTTCTTCAGTTGGCTGTTCTTTCACTAAGGAAGGCAGTTCTAAGCCTGGAAATTCTGCTGAACTAGGGGAAAAAAGCAGACAAATGGAGACGTTTCCTAATCTGACTCCTCTTGGGACGGGGGAAAAGCGCAGTAGAAGACACGCGGTGTCACTGTGCACCACAAAAGCCAGTCCGTACAAACACACCTGTGATTTATCGTGATGGTACCACAAGCCCTCCTATCAGACCTGAACTTTCTGCAAGGCTTCTGCTCCCAGCAGAGAGCCTGCGTCAGGCACGTCTCTAATACCTTTTACAACACAACTCAGCAGGTAAAAATAAAAATGACAACTTTACTTAACTGTGAGCTAGGCAAGGAAATCTTTGCTGTCACATTTAAATTTTAATCTGACACTTCTGTCACTACGGATACAAAAACTCCACCCTGAAACTCACTCTCGTCTCGGAGACAACTACCCAGTACTTCCAGTGTTCTAAGGGAGGAGTTCTCTAGGTTTATAAATCATTCTGAGGAACAGAGCACCGCCACTGGTTCTTTCAACGTTCACCTGGCGAGTGACAGACAATTTGCATCCTGATGCTTAACGAAGTACTTTAGAACTTCAACCTGAACGCGGGTTTTCTCTTAGTTTGCAGCAAGAGAATTCACTGTAACCTAAGCATGAATGATGGTCTCCAAGGATTCTGCTGGAGCTCAAACTGATTACAAGTAGATCACACATAAACATTCACAATAGCAACGGGTATATTGTTCTATTTATAGCCAAGAACTCCCAAGTGACACTGGTGTTAAAGCCAGCCACAGTACGGTGTAATAAAAGTACCATTGAAACCCTTACTAAAAAGAAACAATTTAGAAGTACCCCCTAAGATTCCTCCCCCCATCCCGTCAGTTTTAAATTAAGGCCTCAGCAATGTAGCCCATGAGATAAGGCCAGTCTTTTATATTCACAAGTCGTTCAGTTCTCTTCCGACAGCTGACGCCGGAACACCGGGGCCGTCGCTCTCCCCGCGTTCCCGCTGCGTCCCTGGTGTAGGTCAGGAGCTCGGCTGCCAGAGCCATTCCGCTGCCACCACTCCACGGCCGTTACCTTCCCAGGCAGATTCGCTGCTCAGTTCGCGTTCTGTAGCTTTGCTTTTTTCCTTTTCCCCCTCCCCCCCAACACACAAAAATGGAACGAAACCAAAAACAACCCCCAAAACAAGAAGGGATGCTTTTCGGGTTCAAGCGATCCGTCGCTGCCGTTCAGTCATCGACCTTCACGGGCAGGGAATCCGAGGTGCCGGCGGCGAGCGACTGCGAGGGAATCCACACGGAGGCTTCCTCACCCCTCGTCACCTTCTCCCACTGGTTGAGGTTGTCCCTGCAGACGCAAAAAAGGCAGAGGTGAAGCACTGTTCCTACGCTTACTGGGATTCCTTCCGAACAACGCTGTCTGCCGTACTGCGCTTTGAGGGGTAGCTCTATGCCGTATGTAAGTACTCGTGTGTCACCCAGCTTTTATCATCTTTACATCATTTCATCCTCCAGTTATCCCATCTGGTAATTCCACGTGGCTTCTACACCCGATGATTATATATAAGCCTATGGAACACCTTCCCCAGAGCAAGCCCTGCAGCCAGAGGCCAGCAGCTGCTTCCATCGCAAGCTTCCAGCCCTGAGGGATGCAGAGAAAACCCACCTGGGACCCACGAGAGACACATCTGCAGTCTGGAGACCAGCAGCCTTCCTCGCTCCAGACTGCTGGGATCTTACCACAGAGTGCTTTGGCCCTGCTCAAAACCACCACCGAGATCGGGGCTTTGGCCAGGACACGTCCTTCGCTGGAAACCACAGAAGAGGGCACTGGAAACTCCGGCACGTGGGCTGCCCGACAGCGTGTGAGATGTTGCATGCAGCCATCACGCTATCAGCTTCCAGTCACTAATGTGGTGATCACACCACCAGTGCACTCGTTTGAAGAGAACCCCTTCTGCGATGCAGAAATGGTTTCTAGTGTCTCACAGCCCGGCCAACCCCGAAGTCCAAATTTTGGTTCACGACCCATAAAATGATGAGAAATTCAGCTGGTAATGTTCTAACGATCTGAAGGGAGTACAGACCCGTAACCTTACTCACCTCACACTAGAACCACTCCAGCTACTCGGAAGTCTACACTGATGACATCCAACAGCAGACCCTACTCACAACCTATGGCCAAATCGTGCAGGCAGTCTTCAAACACAGCGAGAAGGAGAGCCAGCTCTGCTGTGCCCATTTCACACTGTCAGACACCGACACGTAGTTACTTCTGGCTAAAGTCATTCTCTTAGATAAACTAAATACATTATGTCACACGTTTTAGTCTCTCGCTACTAAGGTCTCAAAACATGCTTTAAGCTCTTTCTTAATCTTCTCTTAGCTGGTAGTGTCTTTATCTACTCTCAGAATCCCAGAAACCCAGAATGGTCAGGGTTGGAAGGGACCTCTGTGGGTCACCCAGCCCAACCCCCTGCCCAAGCAGGGTCACCCAGAGCAGGCTGCACAGCACCGCGTCCAGGCGGGGCTGGAATATCTCCAGAGAAGGAGACTCCACAACATCCCTGGGCAGCCTGGGCCAGGGCTCCGTCACCCTCAGAGGGAAGAAGTTCTTCCTCATCTTCAGCTGGAGCTTCCCAGGCTTCAGTTTGTGCGCGTTGCCCCTTGTCCTGTCGCTGGGCACCACTGGAAAGAGTCCGGCCCCGTCCTCCTGACCCCCACCCTGCAGATATTTAGAGGCATTTCGAAGGTCCCCTCTCAGCCTTATCTTCTCCAGGCTGAACAAGCCCAACTCCCTCAGCCTCTCCTCGGCTGAGCAGGATTCCAGCTGTAGCCCCACTAACGTAACCACCACAGAGGTACAGTCTCCAATCCTGCTCAGTACTCCCTCCGTATCTCCACCTACGGGTCACACAGCCGTGCCCAGCAGCGGGACCTTAGAGGCAGCAGGCGATTAATGATGGCTCCTAGATACTCACCACTTTTCATAAGATCGTCCTCCGTCCCGCTGACACAGACCTACATATTCTTCTCACAGCTACATGAAATAGTGTTTGGCTGTGAATGAAATTATTTTGCTACCCGCTACGTCAAATTCCACAGTGTTTTGCACATAGTGGACACTCTTCCCTTACTGCACACGGATCATTTAGTCCGTGAGACCAGGGAAGTGACAGAGCAGGCAGAGATCTGCCATACAGGACAAAGAAACAGTCCAGCACCCTGGGTGCCACTAAAGATTGGTGGCATTCTATGAACCAATTGCTTTTCTCTAGAGATTACGATGAACCTGAAACTGGAACGTTTCCATGAAGCACACTGATTTCAATAGAAGTTTTCTCAGGAAAGGTTGCTAAGGTCCAGCATATAATCCTCAGGCAGAACCACCTGCGAAGAGCTCCACCATCTCCCCAGGGCAGCAGCAGCCAACCGGTTGAGGACCCTTGCCTCTCCTCCAGATGATTCTATGAACCAATTGCTTTTCTCTAGAGAATACGATGAACCTGAAAATGGAACGTTTCCATGAAGCACACTGGTTTCAATAGAAGTTTTGTCAGGAAAGGTTGCTAAGGTCCAGCATATAATCCTCAGGCAGAACCACCTGCGAAGAGCTCCACCATCTCCCCAGGGCAGCAGCAGCCAACCGGTTGAGGACCCTTGCCTCTCCTCCAGATGATCCCAAGCGACATCCAACTGACTGGCAGGACGAAGCTACATCTGCCTCTCCCACGTCCCAGTGGCACTACCCCCTTTCGCTCACCATTACTGACTTTTCTGGGGATCCTTCTTTTCCTGCTTTTTAATAAAAATGTTCTGACATGAAATGAAACCACAATTCTAGTTGTGAGAACCACGCTGAAGTAACAAGGACACAGAGGGAAATGGCACTGACCCAGCCTAGTCAGGGATACGCAAGCACTGAACCTGTTCCTCTCTAAACTTGGGGGGTTGGACTAGACGACCCACAGAGGTCCCTTCCAACCCCCAACACTCTGTGATGCTGTGATTCTGTGAACGCTTTTGGTGTCGAACACGCTTGAGCCAGCTGTGACTGCAGAGCCGCGTCGGACAGTCCCAGCCAGCAGTTACCACCTCTGG